ATTCAATATCAATGCAAATTTTTTCACACAGAAGGGAAATGAAATTAATGAGCCCTAGTTATATATAGACCTACATTATAGAAAATAATTTAGGTTTGACAAAGTTATAATTAGAAAATATGAGGTCACCGTCAGGTCAATGCAAACATTTAATGCATTCAGGACCCTGTTTATTTACGTTGCATCTGGTTGTGTGACAAAATTTGTCACAATTAATGATAATTGAAACTACTAGACTTATCGATTAATTATCACACATATGACGACTAAGTAGAACATTTATGGGTTTTTTTTTATTCCAAGAAGATGAGATGAAGCAGTAGGCCCAAGCAAATACACTATTACAGAAGTAACGCCTCCTTCGAATAAACACCCGTGGAATTTATTTTTCCCCGAATAAACGTCGCCGCGGCTAAACTGTGAGCAAAACAGAGGCAAAATCATTCTCAACACATTTTTTCTACTACAGCAGAATGAGGCCTACATTTTTATAACCTGGTTGGGATCAATAAGTCTTTATGATCGATCACTCAATAATACACATTTTGAGGGTAATTATGATGTAAATTGTAAATTATACTTGTAGTTCCATTTACATTGAAATTAAGGGGGTGGTGGGAGTTTGTTATTTGAGTATACGTATCCATTTTACAGCAAACATAATTAAACGCCACTTCAAAAACCCTTCCCAACAATAAACGCTAAGGGGCCGTTTACTAGAATAAATACGAAAAAAAAAAAATTTTCATCCCACTTTCTCCCTACCCCTCACCTCTGTTTAACGTACAATAGCCCATTTAAGTTAAAGGTCATAAGTTGTGCACTGGAGCGAGACAGCATCGCGCAGTGTAAACATAAAATTAATTGAAAGAGGAAAGTATTCAGACATAATTTTATTAGTGTTTGAACGTAAGCAGGTTGAGTAATCATAATTAGAGTGTGTTAACAAAATTATGCATCTTCATCTAAGTATGCACTATTTTTATCTCGGTAATGTTAAAATCAAATGGAGTACACATGGCTTAATTAAGCTAGGCCTAGGCTAGGCTAGGTATTATTGGGAATCCGTATTATTGCAGTGCTGCTGCTGCTACCTACCGGGATTTACCTGCCACCTGGCCTAGCCTAGGCCTAGATAAATTCATTTAAGGGCAGGGAAGGTAAAAATCGATTGTACCTTCCTCACCTTATTATTCTAGGTTCCAAAAATCACTCCATATTACCTCATTTATTTTGCCAGCTGGTGGTCCATTTTAATCATCAATCCTACCCCCACCCCATCACAATCTGGGGCGGATGCAGGATTTGGTAGTATTGGGTGCGTGAGAATCCACACCACCTCATCCCCACCACCTCATCCCCACCACCTCATCCCCACCATGGTCGGAGCTGAGGTGCGAACATTTTGGTGCACTCTCATACTTTTAAAATCATACCTGTACTATATTTTTAATGATGAGAATAATATATCAACAAAGTACAATACAACAATTTTTTTTTCTTAATACAACAATTTTTTTTTCTTAATACCATTTAGGGGGATGCGATCGCACCGTTTGCACCCCCCTTCATCTGCCCCAGCAATCAGCCCTGTTGATATTCCTCTGCAGCTGTACCCCCTATTCAATAAATTGCACTGTATCCAATGTGTATTTTAAACCCCAGACACCAAATAATAATAAGATACCAAATTCACAGCTAAAGAGGTAGAATCGGATCTGCCATGACATGCTATAATAAAAAGAGTGAATGTTTTTCACACACAGGCTAAAGCAATGGATATTCTACAAGGCTATGAAAGCGGAGACTCAACTGAAGATACAAGTCATGATCCGTGTAGTGACTACCCTCAATCAAAGAGCTGTAATTCAACTGAAGAGTCAAGTCGTGATTCATGTAGTGGCCATCCGAAATCAACAGAATTAGAAAAATTGACTGCGGACAACGATCAGAAGAATAAAAGTTTTGAAAGTGTGGATTTCTTTTCACTCACATCAACTGAAATAGACAGGGAAATAGGAACACTAGAAAATGATTTTTCATCTACAAGTCAAAAGTGTCACATTAATATGTCTCGCTCAGGAAACCAACAACCATTTTCAACATCATCCTCAGAAAATACAGGAATGCCCAGAGGTATATATTGCAGCGAGGTATCAAGAAATGAATGTAGTATTGTAAATGTACCAGAAAGTTATACTTGTCGAAACCAGAACAATGTAGCCACCAGAAGAAAGGCAAAAAGACATCAAGAGTGGAACAGATCTAATGAAAAAACATTTGAGAAATGTGAAAATAGGCATTCAGCCTTTACTGATGATATTCAACCTTATGTTCCAAAGAAAAAAAAGACAACATTTGTGCCTGAAGAAAAAGATAAAGATTCTGCAAGCAAACCATTCATACCTAATATGTTTACAACCCCAACACTTATTGCTGCAAATCTTGAGAATACGCCTTCACAGTTGCCAAAGACTAAATACATTACCTTCAGTGATGCGCATTCGGCGGCAGTAACCCACACAAGGTGGAATATTCCGAGGTACAGTCATCTATTCCTGAGTGCGTCATTTGATAAAACCGTCAAAATTTGGGATTGTGTGGATATTAATACATGTGTCGCGTCCATTACGTCGCATCAGAATGGAGTGAAGGACGCACAGTGGAGCAAATGTGGACGTCAAATTCTTAGCGGTGGATTTGACCATTCTGTTCAACTCCATGATGTAGAGACAGGTACACCATAGCAAAGCACAACTTTTTTGATACCTTGTTTCGCAAAACCAAACCACTGCATTCTGTTGTCAATTTCAAAGAAAATTATAACTTTAAAAATATTAATTCTGGATAGTTAACACACATACACTGCCATGAAAATTTAAAGTTTTCAAAAATAATTTTTAAATTTATAATAATATAAAGCATTTATGAACCGGAACACTGATTCATCTTTTCAGTCATTCCATCCATAGTGCTTCCAGTGACGGCACCAGCGGTGGGGCAGGGGCCTTATACCCCCTCCCACCGGACAGGTCAAGCCCCCCCACCACCTGTCGGACAGAGCTCGTCGGGCAGTCAAACCATAAAAAATATAAAAATAGGCCCACACCAAGCCAACACATGTCTGTCATCTCGTCAGATGACGACCACTGACGGTAGTGAGTGTCTGGCTTTAAGATAGTGATAAACAGTGTATATGCTATTAATGTAAAATGAATTATTTATTTAGTTGATAATTCCATTTTTCTACACTATAGGAAAAATACACTTGTCCATGTTTAAAAGTCCACCCAAAGGAAAATGTGTTCCTTGCACAGTCCAATGGTAATTATATCGCAATGTTCTCCTGTAAACGACCGTACAAACTCAACAAATTCAAACGATTTGAAGGCCACAAGGTAAATATGTGAATACAAATACTATTGTATTACAAGTTTAAATGTTTGTAGTTTGTTAAAGAATAACATTACAATACCTAAATTTGTTCCAACCAGTAAGTGGTAATCTATTGCTGTTAGCGAGTTAAATACAGATATAGCTTATTGAAGGTGACATGCATTTCTGATTATTTATGTACATTTAAATATGAATGTTTTCTTGCCATGTCATCTTTTATGTTTTGAACACACAATCACAGACAATCTGAGTGTACAAATCTACTTAACAAGTGACAAAAATAGGTGGTATATGATATGAGCAGTTAATGTTTTTGATGATTCATAAAATGAGATAAAATCATCACGTTTCAGAAATTATATCCTGTTTCAAAATTTATCGTCCTGTATGTTCCTTATTCTTTCAAATTTTGTAATTTCATCGATATCTGTGGATTTTGATCGTGTTGTTTGGAAGGCCTTTACTATTAGCAAGCGCTATTTGATCTTTCCTGGGCTATGGCAGTTGGTCTTTCCATTTATTTTTCACCCTTTTATTTTCCATTCAACCCAGATACACCTCATTAAATGGAACACCTCATAAAAATATTCTACTTCCCATAAACATTTATTACATGTATATTTTAAGCACACTCAGTGTTTTTACGAGAGTTTTCATTGCTTTTTGTTTCCTAGATTGAAGGATACCCAATCGGATTTGATTATTCACCCGATGGGAACATAATCACAAGTGGAAGCTCTGATGGCTGTGTATATTTTTATAGTTACAAAACCTCAAAACTGATAAAGAAACTTAAATGTGATGGGGATAATATATGCACTGATGTGGCATATCACCCTGTGCTACCTGGGGTAATGGTCACATGTTCATGGGAGGGCAGTGTAAGTGTTTGGCAGTGAATACACTGCATGCTGGGAAAACAACAGAGGCTGGTCCAGCCATATTTTGGACAGCAACTATGATTATAACGACTACTAATAGGATGAATGGCTTGAAAAGCCAGGCCTTGTCTAAGCTACAACTCTTGGAGTATGGATCTGATATGCAATAAATATAATTTTTTAAAAATCCTCAGGTTTTTATATTTCTGTTTATTGACACAGACACACACAGACGCATGCACGTAGACGCATACACACAGACGCATGCTACGCCTCTTGTATCGCCTCCTCCTCCGGAGACGAGGGTAAATTTCTTTTCTAGATAAATGTAAAGGTTGGAGAATAACTTGTAACTCGCAGCGTCATTGTAGTGAATTGCGTATGGACGTGGTCCGCTGTAAAGAGGCGCTTATAATAGCTTCATGTTCACATCATTCCACATTGATGTAACATGATTCCTGACATAGTTGTTAACAGGCTTGTTTGTGATAAAAACAAAATCACTTTTACAGACTAGGCAAAGTAATACCTTTATTAGCATATATCCACAATTCTTTAATGAAATTGCTTATAATTAGTACAAATATGGACTACATAATGGTTTGACATTCTGGCCCATGAAAAAATTCCTTAAAGGGGGTTTATGAGGGGAACCCCTCTGGAGTTGAAGCATTTATGTAAATGGTGAATTTTATTATTTTGATGGTATTTCATGCAAGGCAGGGAGGGGTGGTTCAGCTTTACCAGGGGGGTTTTTGCTTGAAAAGGGTTGTTGACCTAACCATAAAACCCCCTAATTATGGGCCTGACATGTACAAACTTGTTTAATTTAAGTGACTGGGTTTCTACTGTGCTTGTATTTAATTTAACATTCAAAAACCCATTGAGCAAGACCTAATTACAAGTAAAGTCCTTCTGGTGTTCCCTCTGTCTTCCGGTATAAAACATTCTCTTTTGACTTTCTGAAATCTTCATTGTTCACCCTCATTCTCCTTTCCCTTAATGCCATTAAGCCTGCTTCTGTACAAATTGCCTGAAAGAAACAAATCAACGATTAAGAACATAATGTTCAATGTAACAATCTTTTAATAACTTGCGTTTTTAGTTTAATTCTTGCTAAGCCTGTTCCATAAAATCGCAACATGGCTTTTAATGATTCAGATTCGTCAGTTGAATCAGGGAGCCTTCTTAACAGCATTAGGGGCAGCTACGCAGTGCAACGATTGCAGTCAAAACACTGTAAGTAAAGTGTACTATTGTTATGGAAATCAGACATTATTAAAGCCCCCATTCCCGGCAAAAACTGACTTTTTTTAGAAAGTATGCATTTGCATTACTCCAATTATTATAAATCATGGAAAAATATTGGCATGAATTTTAGTTTTACGCAAAAGAATTTAAAAAAAAGAGAAATACAGACTATTTCTCATAAAATATTACCATTTTCTCGACGAATTCATCATTACTAGGCAAATTCAGAGGTTTTAGATCGCATCCACACTGGAATATTCTCGCTTTTATGTATACTTAATACAGTCAATAAAGTGCGCCCTCTCTAATTAGATTAGTTTTTGTACTTCGCATCTCGCACAATGCGGTCGTTCGGTTAGGCTGAGATATGTTTGTTTAAGTGTCAAAATCTCAGTCAGAATCGGTTTTTTAACAAATTTGAAATAATTCCTATGAAATATTATATTTCACAAGTGTCAATACTAGCAACGGAAAATATCATGTCGGCCGTTTATATGTTTGATAACAGAACCTAAATCGAGGTAAGGCTAGGCCTAGCCTAGCAGTGTTGGATAGGCTAATGTTTTCGGCGCCTACAATATTTCTTCTCACGACCTATCGCAAAATCAAACATGAAAAACTCATCCGCATTTATTTTTTGTGTGGAACAAAAAATCAAATTTCAGTCATATTTTACATTTTTTTCATTCTTAGGAATGTCTAAATTCAGTTAAACTAGCAATTCCGTATTATATTTATAAATCTTTATAACATTATACAAAAATTAGATTTTTCTTAAAAACTGAAATTTTGCCGGGAATGGGGCTTTAAATTCCAATCTAAAATATAATTTAAAGACATAGTACTTCTACATTTCTGGTAATCCAATGAAACAGCTTTGATGCAAAACTGTGGCTAAGCTACAGAGCTCTTGATGTCTTTTGTAAAACCTCATATATAAGCCCTGGGCTTCTTTTTTTCTTCTTTCTGCAACCTTTGGATGGGCTTCTTTTTGAGATGGTATTCTTTTCAAGGCTACTTTTGCAAAGTAAAGAGAAAGGCTTCTTTTCAAGATGAATGCTGTAAATTTTGGGACTTACTATTACAAAACAAATGGGGCCACTGGAACATCAGTCTGTATCATGGAGTATACAAATCAGCATTAAATCACCTAAACGACTGTATAAACCAAGCGCGTCTTCAATTTATTTTGTTTGAAATTCTTGTACAATGTATGTACTGTACTAGCCCATGGGCTTTTATTTCGAGGCTACTTTTACAAACTAAAGAGAGGGCTTCAATTCGAAATGGGCTTCTTGAGATTAAGCCCATTGGGCTTCTGTTCAAGGTTTTACGGTATTACCTTAATATCTGCTCCTGACAAATCATCTTTGGCCAGGATATACTCATCTAAGTTCACATCATCTGCAAGTGTCATTCTGCTTGTGTGGATGTTGAAAATGCGTCGTTTTGTTTTCTCATCTGGCAGTGGAAATTCTATCTTTCTGTCAATTCGTCCTACAAAAGACCAGATTGGGATGAGATTTAAAAAAAAAGCAAAATGAAAAAAAAAAGGATATAACTTTCACTGTTCCAAGATCTGATTTATCTACTGAATACTGTACAAAAAAACCCATAAGCGTACCTAAATAACCTATCAAACTAACAGCTACAATACATTAACAATTGCCTTGCAGCAAAGCTAGAGTAATGTACTTTGCTGTATACTGTGCTTCAGCACTGCATACTGCACCTTTTTTAAGTGTAAATATACCGAAATTGGTAGTTCAAAAAAATGTGCGCAACCAATCAAGAGCTAAGGAAACGAACCGATGCCTTTGATTTGCGCGAATAAATTCGCCTAGTGCAAACCAGCTTTACCTGGCCTAATGAGAGCAGGATCCAGCGTCTCAATCCTGTTGGTTGCCATGATAACTTTGACATCACCCTTGGAGTCAAAGCCATCCAGCTGATTCAGGAGCTCCAACATGGTGCGCTGGATTTCACGTTCACCACCAGAGTTGGATTCATATCTACATGACACAGGCAGAAAAAAAGTGTAATCAGTGTTTGAAAATAAGTATTTATTTGCAACTCATTTCTTTATTCCACAGAAACTGGAGTAAAAATTCCACTTACAAGGATTAAGAAATTATCTATAAGCCAAATATATACAAGATATTTCAATAACCATAATAATTTGTATAGATAGGTTAAGGCAGCAGATACAACATATATTAAAATTCTAACATTGTCTCATGGACAAAAACATGGTTTGTTGCCTAACCCACATCAACTCAAAATCGTTAAACTCGAGAGGGTGGGTGAAGTGGGGGGGGGGGGGGTTACTTACTATTGGAATAGCAAAAGTGCATAGGGATAGTAATGATTAGCAATGAGAACCCGACAATTTGGCCTAGCCTTATGAAGTAATTAAACATTTTCACCGAACCTCATTTCAAATCGTCACTGTGCCTGGGCAACACAATGATTTTTATTGGCGTAAATCATATCATTTATTTTGTTATAAACATTAAAATTACATTAACAGGCATATTACATAATGATTACAAAAGCTGATGTCTGATTGTGAACTCTTACCTTTTTGTACCAATAGCATCAATTTCATCTATAAACACTATGGAGGGAGCATGTTCCTCTGCAACTCTGAACAATTCACGAACAAGCTTGGGTCCATCACCCTTTGGAGGAAAAAGCAACATTTATTTCATGACTGGAAACTTTTGGAAAAAAACTAAATTATATGTACATTTATACACTAAAAACATTTCTTAATTAGAAAAACTAACATTATTTTGTACAGTAGTGCTATTTATATATTAGTAAGTCTAAGTCTAAGGTATTTTTCTAAAGGGGAGTGGGCAGACATCTCAACATTAACTTCCCTCCAACCCCCTTGCTTTCCCCTGCCCCCCCCCCCTTGCCTTTGCCACTGAGCTATCCTGAGTCTCCTGTCAGTAAGATGGGTTACAGCTAGCAAATTATAATTTATTCGATTACAATATTATTTATAATTATTTTTAAATTTATACAAAAAAGGTAATCAATCAGAGATCATTCCATAAAGCAAAATTATGATCAAATCAAGTCATTATTTTCAACATATTATCTTAATCATAAATCATCTGTCCAAGTCCAAATAATATTGTTCTTACCAAGTACTTCTGTATAAGTTCTGATCCAACCACTCTCAGGAAAGTTGCTGATGTTTGATTGGCTACAGCCTTTGCCAGTAGGGTTTTGCCCGTGCCCGGTGCACCAAACAGTATGACCCCTTTGGGTGGCTTGATACCCATTTCCTCGTAATACTCTGGATGCGTTAAAGGTAACTCGACAGACTCCTTGATTTCTGTAATCTGTGAATCCAGTCCACCGACATCAGCATAGGACTCTTGAGGTGCTTTCTCCAGCTTCATTACTGATACCATAGGGTCTGTGTCGTCACTTAGTACACCGACGACAGCATGCACCTACGATGGCAACAATATTTAAGATTTAAGCTCTATTGTCCCTTTAAAATGTGTGTGCAAAAAACTATGGAGATCTTTGAAAAAAATTATGTTGAATTTAAAAGGTGGTAGCTGTTTCATAATGTACATATCAAAATTATAGCTACATAGTTCAGAGCTGAATGCTGTGGCACTTGAATACAGGGTCCCTGGGAGTCTGAGTGAAATACAGATGGGATTCCAGAGCATTTCAAGAACCACCATCGTTAGGGCTGAGGTACAGATTCTATTAATACTGTTAAGGTTACTCTAGATGGCCAGAAAACACTGACATCATTACCAACAAATTTACCATTTTAAAGAATATCCAAACATACATTAATTTGATCAAAGCTGAACATCTGCAAATGTGGCAAAGACAAGCCAAACCAGTCACTCGTCGGAAAAATCAATTTTTAGTTATTAATACATGGTTTAACAGTAAAATGAGAGCTATAAAATTGTAAAAGAATCATTTAAATCCGACACTTCGTAATGAAGTTACACGAGTTTATACATACAGCTGTTTAAAGAACAATATTTGAGAAATCAGCCTTCAAAGTTTACGATTTCAGGCATTTCTTAGGCAGAAACCATCACCAAATCATTAAAAATTGTTGTTTTAACATTGAAAATGAGGAAAATAACAGCATAGCATGATGTATAGATATATAAAGGTTTGTTTAGTGCAATAAAATAGATTTCCAAAATTTTGAAATTCCAGCATGTTTTGGCCATAATCTCCAAAACAGGATTTGTGACGAGTGACTGGTTTGGCTTGTCTTTGCCACAAATGCTTCAGAGGCTGCGACCCTGAGCTGACCTCTACCAGGGCCCTTAAGCCGGGCACTTACTGCAGCCGTCGTGCGACGCTCATACAACCTTGGTACAATGCAGTTAGTGCACAGCTTTAGACACCATGGTGAAATATAAGAATGAAATTATCAAATATCGCAAATACACTGAGCATGCAACATACCTTATGATTAAGGAGGACAGTGCAGCCTGGTTCAAGAGAATCTTTGTCAACAAATGATAATATACTGACATAGTGTTCTGAGCCAACAGATGTGGAAACGATAGCGTGGTTATCATCAATGATTTCTTCCAAATTACCCACAGACATTGGTGTTCCTCGCAGGTCATCAACCTTTGACCTCTCTTCCTGCAGAAATACAATCCATCATTCGCATAATTTTAAGGACAGCTACTAATCTAACATAAAATTTTAACACCTTTATCTACACAGTTGACTTCTTCAGAATGTGCAATCTTAATAATGCCAAATTGGTGGTATGGTGAATAAATAAAACAATGGATACAAAAGCATTGAGGACTGCATAACCTGCCATAATTTTTACAATTTTCACAAGAATGTGCAATCTTAATAATGCCAAATTGGTGGTATGGTGAATAAATAAAACAATGGATACAAAAGCATTGAGGACTGCATAACCTGCCATAATTTTTACAATTTTCACAAGAGTACAGAGTATATGCATTAAAATGGGGGGGGGGGGATTGACAGTGCAGGCATAATATGTACTCTTTCATTTTATTGTGTACTCTCTCAGGGAGAGTGTTAAAGAGTATTATTTGTTATTTACATACTGGACCATATTTAATAACAATAAAAACAAAACTAACCTCATCCTTTTCATCTTGTGGTTTAAGTCGCTCTTGGTTACGAATAAACTCTTCTTCCATCAGTAAATAATCTTTGATTCGTTCCATCTTGAGAAGTCGAAGTCTACATCTTGTATGAGGGGTAACTTAAGAGCAAAAGATAAAAGAAACTCATTGATTATCTTGAGAATGATTAATAAATAATTCTACTTAATAAGACTGCATCCCCTTGTTTCGTTTTGTAGATTTTCATTATTAAAATGAAGGTGAATTTTGTCAAGATACCTTGAGGTAATTTATTCGCTGCATCTGGACCCTTCACTTTCCTTTTCTTCCCTACTCGTGTGGGAACTGGTGGTTCATACTTTTTCTTCTTGTCCTATAAATATTAAAGAATTAAAAATCATTTAACAAAATTCAATATACGCATACTGAATGGGCTAATGGAATAATAAAAAATTGAATGCTATGTAATTAAAAATGAGTCAACTCTTTTATCAATCATTAAATAGACTCACTATCATCAGATGTTGGGCACGCAAAAATGACAATTCAGGGGTCCCAAGTTGAAAGACATCCATTCGGGGAGACCTGGTTAAACAAACGTTCTTAACAAATTTAATTTCATTTTGCTGTGCATGGTGATTACCCATTGGCACTGAATTCCATGAGACAATTGATATTAAAGTAGTAAAAAAATGCAAATATAATGAATTTGAGGGAGATGGGTTACTTTCCCAGAGATTCTTGCTTGCTTGTGAGAATGCAAGAGGCCGACCCAATTTCCGGCAGACTCCCGCGACTTTCAGGAGACTTGGGACCCCTGACAATTTGCACCATTTATAATATAGTGTAGTACCATCTACAATTTAATAGCATAATAGATGACACAGGTGTGTATGGTAAGCATCATTAAGACTCCATATTGTACCTTGTCATCCTTTTTGTCACCACCTTGTCCCTGTCCTCCACTGTTAGGGAGACCTGATTGATTCTGACCCTGAAATATAGATATACAAGTTATATAAAAAGACTTCAATAAATCTAAGCATGATGCTCCTAATAAATAATTTCATTTACGTAATAGTGACATCACTGTGTTATACATTATCCAGCAATTTGAGAGTGGTATACAGATTATGCAGAACACATTGTATATAAACAAAATAGATGCAATCAAAAATTGTTCATTTTTTGCAGTGTCCAAAACCAATAAGCACTGTGGCTGGGGACCACACTGTACTTGTCACAAAGGGGGTTGTTACGGCCCTTTCCCCCAGTTTCTACATATTTAAAAATCTGTATCTCATTAACCATTCCCAAGTTTTTTGTCAAATAGGCCTATGCTTTTGTTTTGGTGTCTAAAGAAAAATCAGATTTGTACAACAAGGTCACATACTTCTCCATTGTTTACAAAGGATTTGAAGAGCCAAAATTAGGCATAATTAATAATCTCTTAAATTCTGTAACTGATATTTAACGGATGACAATGATCTTGGTATCAATTTATTTCTATAATAACACTCTTTCAAATGATACCAGCTGCAAAGGAATTGCTTGAATTTGAAATTTGTTGTCACGTACCTACATGTCAATCAAATTCAAATTTGTTTTTTTCCTCTGGAGCCTTACTTTATAAGTTTTACAACCAAACTACAACCCTAACTTTAATTGGCAAAATTGAATTGGTTGGTAAGATCATGTACCTCCATGGTAAGATAAACACTTTCCATATAAACTATAAGCCTTATTCTAGTAAATTAAGATTCATTACCATGCCACCCAAAGGCATATGACCGGTTGAGCCGCCGGTCATTTAAATGAAACGCCAAGCGCGTCTCTCAGTGAATGTAGTGCGTTAATTGCGGCGTATTTCAATTAACTCATTCGTTATGCGTACTATTTTGTTAAATTATTTAATTAAACTATTTATTATATATAAGTTTAACAAATAGTACAAAAATAAAAATATATAAATTACAAAACCATAGTAAATACTGTATAATAACATAGGCCTAACACATTTAAATTTATTGTTTATAGTCATCTGTCTATTTAAAATCAAATTGGTTTTACTAATTTTACTTATTAATGTTTTATTACACACAAACCCCCCAGCCAGCCGACCAGTCACATTGGCAAACAAAAAAATGAAAAAAAAAAACAAAAAACAAAAAAAAAACAAAGGGCCAAAAACGAAACGAAAAAAAAATTAAAAACAGTTATAATACTAAATGTAAAAACATGCATATATTTTATTCTAAGCATATGCAAACCCTTAGCCCTAGAAAGAAGAACCTAGCCCTAGTTACTGTACAGGCTAGGCTTAGGCTGTAGGCCTAGCCTGCTTTCCCTTCCGATCCCTGGCCTGGGGCTTGCTCTGTCTGCCCCTGAACTGACGATGTTTGTTTTGTGCTTTGTCACGTCGATGGTACAAAACAAGTATTAAGATTATTATACAAAAATACGTCCAAAAGACAAAGATGTGAAACGTGTTGTTAATACATATATGTACATTGTATATCCTTCAACCAATATAAAATTATGACATTAATTAATGATGAAATTAACATTAAAGTTCTTACCATTTTCAGTCCTCTCTTTTCAGAGTATCATGAATCGGATTTCGCTCATTGTTTGTTGGAATTTCTTTACTCCGCTAGCCACTCGGCGTACCGATAGAGGGCTGGCCTGCCAAAAGAAATCCCAATTCCTGTAATATCTCTGGTCGAATTTGCTGATTGTTGTGTGTATGGCAATTCGTTTTCTCAAAAAGTTTGATTATAGTACACAGCAGTGGTATTTTACGATAGCTATTTGTGTCATTCAGACAGATAGCCCTCCTCCATTGTTATATTTAGGCTAGGCCCCGGCTGCTGCTGCCTAGAGAGACTACTTGAACTTTCAGCCAATCAGAACGTTCTCCCTGACCATTCATTTGTGTGTTTTGAAGTTCGTCAGCAAAACTCTCACTGGCGCAGTCAGTGCACTCCAAGGTCTAACCTAGGTCTAGCCCTATGCAGGCTTGGCAGTTCTAGCCTAGGCCTAGTTGGAATACAAAATTTGGCTGAACTACTAACCAGCAATCAATAATTCCAGACTGTATAGTAAAAGGCCTGCGCGGGGAATATATCCTCGATGCCAAAATTTGGCCCAGAAATTCGTCCGCACATTTCAGAAAGTAATTGCAGAGTTCCGCACACATTTTGCCGAAAATTAGGCTTTGACCTAGGCCTAATCTTAATACTGCGTATTTATGCAGTATTTACGAATCCGTACACCTATTTTCCGTGCAAATTTTTGAGATATCATCCATGCAATTAAAGAACTAGGCCTATACATTATGGCAATAATATTAACTTTCCTGACTTTCTATTATAGAAAAGAAGAGTTGTACTGTGGTTCTTGAAGTTTGACGATATTTTAGTTTAGTTGACTGATGAACGTGTAACTAGCCTACCCCAACAAGAAGGCCTAGAATGTACTCAGTGATGCTATTTTTCTTGGTCATTTTTAGCTATTCCAACCATGCCCTGGCTAATTTGCCTGGTCTTTGGAGGTATGATAATCTGTGATTTGTATATACTAGAGAAAATGCAATGATTTATTTCCTTTTTTACAGTTTATCTTATAGTTTTTGACAAAAAAAATAGTAATTTAAAAAAAAATAATAGGACCTGAGAGATATTGTTTTGGCAAAGTTTTATCATTAATTAGGCCGAAAAAAAAAAAAATTGTGTTTGCCACGCCTGACTGACCCAAATTTTGGCCAACACAAAATATTTTTATTTTTGCCCTTATTTATAAATGTTGCAGAAATAAATGTTTGCAGTGCAGTCATTTAATGTTTTTGTGACTCTTGTTCAGGATCAAACCCACTGACTCTCTTGATGCAAACACTCCGTCAACAAGACATCAGGTGCTTACATTTTGATTGTATTTCCGAATATTATAATCAATTCACTCCATCGGCATATGCCCAATCATAGAATTTTTTATTGAATATTGTGGTTTAATTTTGCTCTAGAAAAAAAACATAGCTAGGTGCCTATGTCAAACAATTGATGCATTAAGTTTGCCAAATAAGGGAAGAATCAAATGAAATTTGTTAACAGTTATTTTGTGTTTCTTGATTGTGTATTGCAAAAAGGTGATGAATCTCTGAAATTGAAATACAAATTTGATAATCAAAGCCCAAATTGCAAATTAGGTCTAAGAAAACCAGTGCTTTCCCATGGAAGCACAACAGCTTTGAATTAAAAATTAAACTTAAAGAAAGAGTGTAAAAAGCAAAATTTTTTCATGTTTTAATTTTTAAATTTTATCTATTTTCTTCCATCTTAGATTCTTGATAAATTCTGTTTAATCAGGCTTAAATGTTGTGTTTTGAGAAATGTCTAACTTCATTCCGTGTGTGTAATTTAGTTTGAGGTGGAGTACTTGGGTACTTCAAATGAAATTCAGTGGATTACTTCAGATGCTTGTCAAGTTGAAGATTCCAGGTTAGAAAAATTGAATTATTGTGTGATTGTGTGCATTTAAGTGAGTATGTAGGCATACATATTGTAATGTTATTTCTGATGGTACAAAGTATTATGTGGTTGAATGTATACCTCCTTAAATAACTATCTGATAATTACTGTCTTTTGTTTAGTGCCAAACAAACTGCCGTATTCTGTGTAATACCAGGTTTTCACCCTATTACAGTTGTGGAGGTAGCACAGGTTAGTTGAAATTTTAAAATCAACCTTAGGGGCGGATTTAAGGGGTGGGGGGAGGGTTGGTGGGCCGGCCTGGCCCTGGCCCCCACCCCTCTTTTGGAAAGTTAAAAAAAGAAAAAAAAGAAAGAAAAAGAAAAAATTAATCGCTCAAAACACCACAAAGGTTATTTTTAGACGACTACAACACAAACATTTTGCGGGGGAATGCTCCCCAGACTCTCCTGGAGTGAGGTTATCTCAAGCGGTCCCACTTTCGCCCCCCCTCTTGATCCGCCCCTAAACCTTTCTCTATTTATACATTCATTAGAACTTCATTCCGTGTGTGTAATTTAGTTTGAGGTGGAGTACTTGGGTACTTCAAATGAAATTCAGTGGATTACTTCAGATGCTTGTCAAGTTGAAGATTCCAGGTTAGAAAAATTGAATTATTGTGTGATTGTGTGCATTTAAGTGAGTATGTAGGCATACATATTGTAATGTTATTTCTGATGGTACAAAGTATTATGTGGTTGAATGTATACCTCCTTAAATAACTATCTGATAATTACTGTCTTTTGTTTAGTGCCAAACAAACTGCCGTATTCTGTGTAATACCAGGTTTTCACCCTATTACAGTTGTGGAGGTAGCACAGGTTAGTTGAAATTTTAAAATCAACCTTAGGGGCGGATTTAAGGGGTGGGGGGAGGGTTGGTGGGCCGGCCTGGCCCTGGCCCCCACCCCTCTTTTGGAAAGTTAAAAAAAGAAAGAAAAAGAAAAAATTAATCGCTCAAAACACCACAAAGGTTATTTTTGGACGACTACAACACAAAAATTTTGCGGGGGAATGCTCCCCAGACTCTCCTGGAGTGAGGTTATCTCAAGCGGTCCCACTTTCGCCCCCCCCCCACCCTCTGGATCCGCCCCTAAACCTTTCTCTATTTATACATTCATTAGGTTTTACATCCATCCGTTTCTTGTTTCCCATGTGTATTTATATAATTATTCATTCTTATAATGCAAAATGTACCGATTCCAAAAATGGGTCATGTTAGGAAGGATAAGAAAAAAATTCAATGTCATCAGTAAGTGTAATCTGAACTAGCAAGAACACTAGGTTCAAGTTGGACAAATTAACATCCAGGAGATCAGTTTACTGTAAATGAACTTAACACATCTAATTATGTGTTGCTGTGGATAACATAACCCATTGCCACTGACCTTCAAGAGACAATTGATAAAATACAGTAGTAAAAAAATTTGCGGGAGATTCTTGCTTGCTTGCAGGAGTGTGGATGCCTTCCCAATTTCCGGGAGAATCCTGCAACTTGCCGGACACTTGGGACCACTTCAAAAAGTACACCTTATTCAAATTGACTAAAGCTTAAGATGAAATAACTTTTGAATATTGATATTTCATATTTTGATGTTTATGTAAAGATTTCCATAAATTGGTTGATCAGTTGTGAATTATGTTTTACTTTGAGAAATACCCACCTTTACAACTGTATTTAATAAATAAAAGTTTAACTTGATATTCCAGTAGTTTTGTTTGCCTATGATTCATATATATTTTTCTTTATCTCATAGACCTGTTGCAATTTTACAAAGATTGTAAAAATTGAAGAGGACCCATTCTGCTATCAATGGTATCTTACATTCGAAAATACTAGGTATGACTTTGTACCAATATAATACTAATAACAAATTCTTAGAATAAGAGTATTTTATTTGCTGAAATTCAAGTCTTTAAACAATATGTTGTATGCATTACATCCCCTTTTCAGTTAAGTAAACTGCTTGATTTATGTAAATGTTATTGAATATGATAATTTTTTTGGAGTATTATTTTCATATAGATTCTATTATTATGTTACTGTACTTTGGGAGTAAGGACCTTGAACATTGCTTACAGTGATTAAGTTCACTTTTAGGTTCCTGCCAGGAAATGTTTTTGCTTTTTGGCAATAAAGAATTAACAGCATTTAAAACAACATTTTTTTTCCCAAGTTCCTTAGCTGATGTTACTTACCATAACATAAAAGTTTGGATAATTGATAACTACAACGCTGAATTCGAGGAGATGACAGGCTCTGCCAAGGAACCATCGCAGGTTTGTGAAATTATATTCATGTAATTATTTTGCAGTTATTTTGATTTATGTTGTTGACTCTCTCCATCAATCTAAATTTGACTTAGAATTCCAGGCGTATATCAGAGCTGTTTAACTTAAAGCGACAAGAACCCACATTAAGTGTTTTTCAAGAAAGAACAAGGGACGTTCATGACGTTTTTCAACCACACTTCAATATGAATTGTAGGTAAGACTAGTAGCAAACTTTTTTTTTAATTTTGAAAGATTAAGTTATTATCAGATGCATTAGTTTGAATAATTTTAATTCAAAAGGGATTACTATGTTTAAAATGTCGATAGCTAATGTTCATCTATGTAACCGATAAGATGTTAAAACTGTAGGCCTACTTGTAGATTGTCTTTTAACATCTTGGTCATCTTTCCTCTAGTTGCTGGGAAACAAACATGAGGATGCCAAACGCCTTTTGGATTTATTTTACCATAACCGGATACACACATGTATCGCTGGATAGTTGTTTTATCAGGTTTGGTATCTCGTTATTGCAGAAACATTGATAAACCACTATAACATAAATTCTGATGTCTGTTCATAATTATAATAATTGTAATAATAATTGTAATAATAATTGTAATAATAATTCTAGAACCTGTTTCTAAGTGCACAGAAAAGTTTAAAATGTGTTGAAAGAGTAATAATAGCAATAACAGGAGCTGTAGTGATAGTAAAATATAATAATAATATTAGGAATACAGAGTAACACCATACATTCATAATACGAAGATATTATTTAAATTTCTTTTTTATTACCAATAAAAATATTTTACTAAAATTAATTACAGTATTATGTATTATCATAATTTATCAGTGTCGA